CCTCGGCCTCCCTGGGGACCTCTCTTGAGACTGGGGAGCGTGAGGCTTATCGCAGGAGGACGACCATTCATGTGTGTGTCTGTGTGTCTGTGTCCGTCCGTGTGTTCCGTGAATTAAGACTATTCTGTCCTCCCGGAACGCTCGCCCTGCCCCCGGGCGGAGGAGAGGGGGGCCGACGGGGACTTTCCTACACCGGCCCCGCGAGGAGGAAGCGGCTCACCGGGCTGGGAGTTCCCCCGCGCGCCCGCGACAGGAAGGGACTTCACACCCGCGCGGCCCGGACCGGCGTTTCCTCGCAGATTTCATCAGAGGAGAGCGATTCGGTCTGGAGTAGAGACTCGTGTGGCTTCTCCCTCCCCGCCTTTCTCTCGCCCAAGAAACGTTTCGACCCCCCGATTATCCTGGGAAAGGGAACCCCACAGGGAAAAAAGCTTGATGGACTTCACAGAAGAGTTCAGGCTTGGAAATAACGGAGTTCTAGAGAAAAGATCTATTTTTAAAAGCTCTAGCTCAAAACGACTACACAGTGCTTTTAAAAAGTGTTTAATGAAACAAAGTTTACAGACAGAACCCCTAAGTGAAAAGACCTTACGGTTTTGTAGATATGGTGACTCCAGTCTTTGTTGTATAAAGGTTGGGGGAACTGGTTTTTTGTACAGTATTTTCTCCTTCGTTGTATGGATTTTTGTATAAAAATGTAACTTCACGTGTCTGACACGTATTAAATATTTTGAAGCAACATCACTGCCTCCTTGTCTGTAATCACCTGTCTGGGTTGGGAGGGAGGCGAGGGGGGGGGGGAACTATGGTCCCGGCTGGGAAATGGAAGGTGTGGCCCTTAATATCAGGCCGGCACAGGCCGGGGATATTGTTTGCTGACTTCACTAAGTATCAGGAGACTCGTTTAAGTTTCTCCCCCATCAGAGGCCTGCTAGTAGATACTAATATCAGTGGCCTGCCAGTTTCTTTAAACTCGCCACTGCAACTGCCTTTTTCAAAAGTCAGTTTAGGACAGTTTTACTTTTTACAGCTCAGTCTGATGGTGTCTTAATATTAAATAACCTAAGTACCAATTTTTGAAGGTTTTCCCATCCACAAAAATGTTTTTCACTAACACCTTTTTGTCTCCTGTTAAGCTATATAACATCTCTCAGGTTTGTTATTGAAAACAACTCACATATGAAGGAAGCTGATGATACTGATTTGCCCAGCTGCTCAGGCCCACCTCTGCATTAAGTGACTGTCAGGGTAGCATTTTCAATGCTTTTTCCCGTTTGTTGTTACATCTGTAGAAAGTGAAAGGAAATTGCTTGTGTCAAATCAGATAGGGGAGGAGGCCTAGGAGGACTAAGCAAATTAACTTATTTAGCAAAACTTCCTGATTTGTTTTTGTCATCCCAATGGTGACATCAGTGTTTGGGTGGTTGTAAACACATAGGTGTTTACAACACAGCCAGGTCATCAGTTCATTTTACTACAGTTACTGCATTTGAGAGGGCTTTTTGCCCAAGGCAAAATATTCAATATTTGAAAGTTATTCAATAATCTATTTCAGAAGCAAACCAATTGAAGAACAGTGTCTTAAAATATGGTTGTTAGTACTTTGAAATATGCCATTGGCCTATGAAGCTTATGAGCCCATGTTTGAGAGATGGGAGAAATTGAGGAAAGATTAGACAAAGTTTTAAGTAAAAAGTTAGGGCCTTTGAGCCAAAGGAGCATGTGAATAGCGCTTTGGCCTTCCTAAACTCCTGATTACATGAACTTCTGTCACAGCTGAGTAGGTCAGTGCTTTGATATCTTTGTGAACCTATTGGTGAGTCATTAGGCATAAGGAACTTTCTACTTTATGCCCCATCACCATAATATATTCATAGAATTAAACATTCTCTAATCAGGGTCTTGTTAAAATTGACTTGTTTGTCTTTCAGAGATAGCTACTTAAGTTCTGTTAGAGCCGCAAGAGATCCATTGAGTGCTGACTGCTTAAACTGAAAGAGGTGTCCAGGGCCTTAATTTTGCAAACATTTCCGGTTGCTAGAAAGTAATTCCGATGCGTGAACAGCTATCTCGGTGCATTTTCATATTTGAGAGGGGGTAACCTTTGTTTTGTGCAAGAGAGTTGATAGGTTTTAGATGAGAGGAAAGTTCCTATTGGTCCTTGTTTTCACATTAAGATGAACCAGAGGACCAAGTGTCTGCTTAATTTAGAGAATGTAAATTGACATATTTGATAGTTAGGGAGATACAGCTTTGTAGGAATTCAGAAAAGGTCATCTTTTTTGTTGCAGAAGCAGTGTGTGTAATGGTTAGAACATGGGCTCAAGCCAGACTTCCTGGGCTTGTATCTTGGCTCTGCCATTTATTAGCTTGAGGGCCCTTGGACAAGTCACTTCATCTCTCTGTGCCTCAGTTTTCTCAAATGTGTAATTGAAATAATCGTATCTACCTCATAGAGTTGTGCAAATTAATGAGTGAATGCCCCTAAAGTTCTTAGAAAAGTACCTTATACATAACAAGCATTCAATTGTTAATATTGTTAAGGTAGACGTGAATTATGTGTATAAATCAGATATGATCAAAGAATTGTGTAATTTATAAGAGAGGAGGGGAAAGGAGAATCTATTTTTTAATAATCCTGTCTGTGAATGCTGGGTTCTTTCATTCTTCTATTTTTCTCTGGACACTTGACAGTCCCAAAGCTTAGTTCCATCAGCATACTGGTAGTTTTGCTGGTTGGCAAGTCTCACACCAACCTAGCAACTTTCCTGATTGTAATCAAACAACTCGATTTTCAGGGAGGAGTAAGCAGGAGTGAAAACACTCAAGGAGCAAAGATCCTGTTGACATGCTTTCTGTGGATGAGCAAAGGGGAAAAAATAGCCCACAGAGTTATTTTTAGCCTGAATTGCTTGGGCATAGAATGTTTCTTAAGCTGTGTTAATTGATGGGTCCTGGAAAAGAGCTTCGCAGTGCCAGGATAGGGTTATCACACACAGCTAAGTCAGATTCAGTGTGGCTAGAAATGAAGCAGTACTGTTAGTACCTAACTGCTTCTTCACCACTCTGCGAGGGACCTGCTCTCTTGACCAAATTAACCTTAGCTCTGGGCTGGGGGTGGGAAGAAATTAACAAAGAATTTATATGCATATATGTATAACCTATGGACAGACTATAGTTTGGTGAAGGCCTGAGGAAAAGGGGTACGGGAGTGGAGAGAATCAGTGGGGAAATGGGGGTCATCTGTAATTCTTTCAAAAATAAAGATAAATTTTAAAAAACAACCACCTTATTTTCGGCGAGGGGGAGTGCTTTGTGACAAGCACTCCAAGAAGATCACTTTAATAATGAGTAAAGGTGTTAAGTTTTAGTACAGTACTTCTCAAGCATGTCTCTTTCCAACTGTTTCCCACTCAGATTGAACTTGGGGAAAGGCACTAATTGATGGACAGCTTGAACTGCTCTGCAGTGATCAGGTTTGCTCTAAGGGACGAAAAGTAGTGATAATAAACCTTCTGTTCCTACCATTCATCACTGATTGGGTTTTGGGGTGGGAAGTGAAAGAGACTGGGCCATTTAACAACAACGTTGGTAGAATGCTTCTCAGAATAAAGATGTAGTAAATATTGGGAACAGAATTAATAATGACAAAACTGCTTCATTTTGTCACTGGATTAGTCTGAGTTTCTTACTGCAACTTGCTAGGCATGACAACGCAGCTTAGAGCCTGTGAGATGGGGTCGAAAGGCTAATACCCACTGTGACATGGAGTTTGATGGACATTTATTTCCTTATACTTTTTAAAAGTAGAGTTAGTTCAGTTCACTGAATAACCAAAGAACTTCTGATCTCCTGCCCTAAATATTTTATTCTTGTCCTGTTTGTGAAATTTTTATTCTCCTACACTTGCTTTCATCCCAGCAGTTACTGAAAGAAAACGAGAATGAAAAGAAACGCTGATCCAACCCTCCCGTGACCATGAAAGAAGCCGTTACTATTAGGTGCAGAACTCCAGTGGAGAGTAATGAGCAGTTT